AGCCACGGCTCTGCCTTCCCCTTTTTCTGTAGCCAGAGTACAAGTATGTAGACCCCATCTGCACCTTCCTCTTCTCCATCCTGGTCTTGGGGACAACCTTGACCATCCTGAGAGATGTGCTCCTAGTGCTGATGGAAGGTAACCTGGGCTTGGGGCTCTCCTTTTGCTCTGGGCTCTCCAGCACTAACAGGTTTGGGGGGGGTGCAGGGGAGTCCCAGCACATTGGCAGGGAGCCATGGTCTGGAGCCTGGCACAGGCTGGGAAACCTCCTGGGGCCCCAGGCCGGTCTTGGCATCAAGCTGAGCCCGCAGGTGTGGCTGTTCCTAGAAATGTCCCCTGGACCGAATCTTCCCTTCCCTCTAGCCGCAAGGTGTCCCCTCCCTGCTGGGGTGTGTCCTCCCTGCCTAGTCAGGTAACTTCTAGGTGGTGTCTGTAGCACCGGACGCTCCACCCCTCCCCCATACACCTCCTCAGTCTCCCATTTGCACAGGAGGCAGACTGAGGCTCAGAAAACAAGATGGTGGGTGTTGGACAAGCCTCCCAAATGCCCTCCAGCTCAGTGCCTTCCTTTCTGAGGCCTCCGCCTCGGGGAGCACGTGGCTGGGCTTGGGGGGCTTCCTCAGTGCTGGCAAATGGTCCGCCCTGAGTTACCACATTCGCCAGCTTTCTTGTGGCCCAGGGTGGCGGGGTCATGGGGCTCTGTGCGGCCAGGGTCAGTCCGCAGTTGGGTGCTGATTTGGAGTCAGTGGGAGTGTGTGGCTGCAGGTCGGAGCATTTTCCCCAGGAGTGTGACCAACCCAGATACAAGTGACGATGTTGATGCCCCATGTGGGTGCAGGGGTCCCCAGGGTCCCTTCTCTCCTTCCAAAGAATAGTCATTGGGCACCTGCTCTGGGCCAGGCACTGTTCTAGGCCCTGAGGATACGGTGGTCAGCAAAGCAGACTGTCCCGTGCTTGTGGAATTTCCGTTTTAGAGGGGGACACGGGCAAGAGGCTGACAAGGTCATTTCAGACAGTGTCAGGTGTGAGGAGGAGAACATAAAAGGGCAATATGACGGAGATCATTTGGGGGGAGGGGGCTGCATCAGATCTGCTGGCCAAGGCGCTCTTCTGTGAGGAGGCAGCATCTGAACAGCAGGAGCCGGCAGGGGCGGGAGGGAGCAGGCTCCTTAAGCCCCTGTCCCCGCGCCCTTCAGGGACCCCCAAAGGTGTGGACTTCACAGCCGTTCGGGATCTGCTGCTGTCGGTGGAAGGCGTGGAAGCCTTGCACAGCCTGCACATTTGGGCCTTGACTGTGGCCCAGCCTGTGCTGTCGGTCCACATCGCCATCGGTGAGTGGCCAGGATCCTCAGGGCAGGGTGAGGGACAGAGGCCGCCGGAGGCCTGGGGCCAGCCCCGAGGCGCCTGATGCCCTCACACGTCTGCAGCCGCTGCTTTGAACCTGGCCCCATGCTGAGCACTTTAGAGACCTTAGTTCGTTTGGGCACCACAATCCCATTTATAGATGAAGAAACTGAGGCTGGGGCTGGGGTGGGGCGGTCACGTCACTTGCCCAGGCTTTGCCAGCGCCTAGGTGGCAGCGCATAGATTCCCAGCCTTAAAGCCACGGCTGCCCCTGCTCTCGGATTGTGCCGAGTGTGGGAACCCGAGGGTGGCCCGGTGCAGGGGTGGGATCGGGGTGGGGGGGCCTTCCTGATGCCCGTACCCTGTCCTGCTGGGGGGTAGGGAATGAGCTGGGCTCCCGATCCTTCCTCAGGGCGCGAGTGAGTAAATCGTTGTCTGGTGCCTCTCCTGGTGTGTCCTCTCGGCCCCTAGCTCAGAATGCAGATGGCCAGGCTGTGCTGAAGGCAGCCAGCACCCGCCTGCAGGGCAAGTTCCACTTCCACACCATGACCATCCAGATCGAAGACTACTCTGAGGACATGAAGGACTGTCAGGCGTGCCAAGGCCCCTCCGACTGACTGCCTGGCCAGGTGCCAACTGAGGCATGGACCGGACCTGCCGCTGGTGGGGCTGAGTGTCCCCCAGGCCCAGCCAGGACTCGGGCTCCCTGGCCGTGTTATAAAGCGGGTCCCTCTCCTGACCTCTGCTCTGTGTTGAGTGGTGAAGGAACTGTCCCCTGCCTCCGCCATCTGACTAGATAGCCAGTTTAAGGATAGAGACGTGGCAAGTGTAAAGCTAGTATGACCCCGCTCCTCCAGCTTCTGGGTTGGTGCCTGGCGGGGCTAGGTTTGGATCTAATCCTCAGCTAATGCCTTCCTACCACCAGCCTCTAGAAAGGCAGGGAGGCACAGTGAGGGCTGACAGAGGGGAGACCGGCTCCAACGTCCCCTTTCCCACCTACCTTATTCCTCATGTCAGTCTGGCCTTTGCCTCATGAATCTGTGAAGAAGTCCTTCTCCCTCTGCCTCTAACAGTGTGGTGTGGGGAGGCCTTGGGGGTTGGGGTTGTGAGGACCTTGCACTCTCCAACCCGTCCCCCTGAGGTGGGAAACCAGCAGGCCCCTGAGGCCTGCCCGTGCCTTAGTCACTTCAGTTCTGAGCCACATGTTTCCCTTTCCTGGAGAGGGGGGGCTTCTGACTGCGTCAGGACCTGGCTGGTTTCTTCTTTCCTTATTACCCCAGCCCAGGAACCCTGTGCCAACACAGTGATTCCCTTGCCCCAGATGGTGGTGGTGGGGGCAGGGCTTTCAGCATGGGTCCTGCCTCCCTTCTCTTGTCCTGATAGGGTCTCGGGGATCCCGGCCTGCCTTCCGATGTGGGATGTGTGTGGTGTGGCCTCACCTGCTCAGAACTTGAGGATGGAGGACAAAAGGGGTTGGTTGTACAACAGATGGGAGACATTGGCTTCCTGAGGTGTATGTAGATCCCCAAATTAGGGGCAGCTTGTGTTTACAAGATGTAGAGGGGAGACTTATCCCTAGTCTCACAGAGAAGGCAGCACCCCCACTCATTAGGTGGCCCTTAGGTCTCATCAGAGAAGGAGAGACTAAGAATGAACCTACCTCACAAGGTTGTTGTGAGGACTGGAGCCAAAGTTTGTTAAGCACCTAGTGTTGCTTCAAGAATGCGTACTTTGATCATCATGCTGGAAAGATGCCGCCTGAGGCCACCTTGCCAAAGAGCCAGGTGGGCTTCCTAGCCTCCCCAGGGGCAGCACTGACTTTGTCTTGACTTTGCCCTGATTCGTGGCAGGACTCTGAGGAAGGGTTGGTCACTCACCTTCCCCCGTGAACTTCTTTCTTCCCATCTATGAAATAACCTCTTGATGCCGTTCAAGCATTATCATCCAGGCTTACCTGTGATCTAGGTCAGTGGGTTCTTCAGCCCCTCAATATCTGCCGGAAGTCATGTGGCCTGGAAGTCAGAGGCGGGGGGCCGCTGGTGGCTGTGTTCTACTCCCCTCACTCTCTGGGGAATCAAGCCCCTTCTCCCCTCCAGGCCCCAGGATCCTGGATCCAAGTCCTTACACCCCTCTCAAGAGACTACTTTTACAGATAAGAAAACCAAAGCTCAGAGAGGTTGAGTCTACGAAGTCACACAGCCACTGTGAAGCAGGTCTGGGGTTTCTGCCTCAGTCACCCAGGCCTTCCTCTACAGCAGGAGCTGAAAACCTTCTGGGCTGCATGTTGGTATAGTGTGAGCCCTTGGGCCTGGCAGTGCCCTCCATGGGTAAGGCCATGCCAAGGCAGTTCAGTGTCTAGGTGCCGAAGTGGGAAGGGGGAAGAGTGCCTCTTTCTTTTGGCTGGACCTGGCACTTAGAACCCTCCCTACCCTGGGAAGGCTGCCTGGGCCACAGCTGTGTGCTTCCTCACCCACCTTCAACTGTTTCTTGATCCTGGGCCAGAATGCCTTCCCTCCTCTTAAACTCCCAGGCCTCCCTCCACCTCAGTAATCTAGCAGCCCCATGCCTCCCAAGGGAGAGCCCTCTCTGCACCCCAGCTGTGACTGGTTCCAGGGAGGACCTGAGTCATCCAGGGGCCAGAGGTCAAGCTGGCGGATGGGGCGGGAGGCCATGGAGAAGCCCTGGGGGACAGCATGTTCTGGCCGGCCAGGGTGAGCTAGTCACGAGAGTTTCCAAAGTGGCGGGGCCATCAAAGCAAGAAAACACCTGACACCCTGGACCTGGGCTGGACCCATCACCCCCACCTCTCTAGGGTCACCCCATTCCCCCTGTGCAGCTGCCGTAGGGGTATTTATAGCCCGAGCATGAGGGGGCAAGGACACGCACTTTATTTCGGAAGTGATAATTCCAGTTCCAGGTGGATGAACCCTGGAGAACCCAGCAGCCCTTCCCCCACTCCACTGCCATGGCCAGGGTGCTCCCGACAACCCCATCTCCCACCCAGCCCACCTAGAAATGGCTTCTTAGTTCTGAGTATGTGGGCCAAAGGAGTGGGGCTGTTCTTTCAAATTCTTCCCCCCAGTTTTTAGACCTCGGGCTGCAGCCCACCAACACTCCACATCCCTTTGCCCGGTCACCCGTTGACCAAAGGGGCCGCTTAGGACGCCATTCCCTTTCGGGGAAGACGGAGCGCGGTGCGGCGCTGACCTCTAGTGGTCGTGGCTGGTAATGCAAAGCGCTGAGCTGGGCCGGCACGGACCCCTGGCGTTCTCATCCTCCTCCCCCGGCCCCTGCTCTGCCAGATCCGGCAGGAAGCCCGGAAACTGGCTTTTCAGCGCTTCTTCATGCGAAGATCGCGCCTGGCAACCCAGGGCATCTGCGGGTAGCTGCCTTACTGCCGGACTAGGAACCCGGGGGTGGGGGACGGAGTTGTCTCACTTGGCACACTGTCCACAATCCTGACTACCGCACAGGGCCAGGCACGCGGTTGATGTCTTCTATCCGTCAAATACTTGGGAAGCACCTGCCAGGCCGGAGAGAAGAGGACATGGCCCTGCCCTCCCGGGGCTTCCTGGCTGGTCCTGGGGCCTAACCCTGTACCTCGCAAAGCAGCATGAACAGTGTGGGAATCACCCAGCTGTGAAAGCGCAGAGGACCTGGGGCGGGGATGGGGGTCAGGCAAGTCTGTGGAGGAGGCAGAGATTTGAAAGGTAGAACTCAGCTTCCGCAGAGAAGCCGAGAAAGACATCCCAGGCAAAGGATCAGTGATGGGTGAGGACACAGTCGCAGAGCAAGCGCCTGGCACCTGTGACCTGCCACTAGCGGCTGGACTGGAGGGTGGGGCGAGGCCCCGCAGCTCGGGGTGTTGGACTCATTGGCTAATAGGGATCTGACGTGTTGGCTGGCAGCCTTGATTGGCTCTCCAGATGTCCCAAGGGAGGGGGATGGACACCCCCCCCCCCGCAGGTGCAGTGCCCCCTGGGAGCAGGGCTGGGGCTCTGCTGGTCCTTCCTAGGGTTTCTCCAGGCTGCGATACTTCTTGCGCAGCACGGACACGGGGTCCTTGAAGAGTACTGGGTCCAGACGGAGGCGAGAGGAAACCAGGGGCATGTAGCCGAACTCCACTGCCATCCGATTGATGCAGTCCTGGACTGGAGGCTGCGACTCCAGGCCCTCAGGCGCCTAAGGGGGGAGGAGAAATGCGTTGGAGGTCTCTGTCCTTCTGAGCCCACCCCCATGCCCCCGAACCCTGCAGTAAAAAAACAGGATTGGGGTTACACAGTGAGAGGGAATCCCATCCCCAGCAGCGCCCTCCCAGTGCCGACCTGCCCCCCTGGATCCTCACCAGTGGAGGTCTGGCCTCCAGATGCTGCTTCCCGTAGGGCACCTTTAGAGGGGGCAGCTTGGTGACTGCTGCTACTAGGAAGTTCATGAGGATGTCCACACAGGTGGGTGCTTCATCCGCCAGGGCTCTCAGAGCCTTGGGCAGGTAGTGGGTGAAGAGGATGTGGTAATACCTGGGCAAGGCGGGATGACAGTAGCCAGATTCACCCACCGCCTCTCCCTGCCAGGCCCCACTCTCCTCCCTCCTGACCTCACTCTCCCTTTCGACTTCATTCCCCAACGCCTCTTTAGAAACCCCTGCTCCCCCTCTCAGCCCAGGCCGCCTCAGAGAGCTCACACCAGAAGTGCAAACCACTCTCTACTGTTCGGTGCTCTGTGGGTCGTCTGCAGCAAATGGTGTCCTCCCTGCCCCCTCCCTTACAGCTCCCTGGGGCCCCCACCCCTGGGCTCTGAGGTCTGACCTCAGCCAGAATGAGGTGGGGGATCAGCTGGTTCCAAGGCCATTAAACGTGCCAGCCCCAAAGACCAGCTTCAGGAAGGCTGTGGATTAACCAGATGATGATGCTCCAGGTGAGCCTTGCTTCACGCAGCCCTCCTGTAGAACAACCTAGGTGCACCCTGCAGACCTTAGGGGCACTCTTCACTCTGCTGAGACTCCCCCGCAGAGCTCCTGGGTGAACCTACTAGAGGTACCAGGTTACACATACTTGGTTTAAGTATGTCTAAGGAACCCCTCTAAAGGGGCCTTCCAAAATTCAGTCTCTACCCCAAAGACGAGTGCTTCCATCAACTTCTGAAAGGCCTGGGACAGTCCCCAGCCCATCACACATTTATTTTTTTTATTTTTATTTTTTTCCATCACACATTTATAAAATTTTAGGGACATTCTCTTGTCTCCACCATTACCAAATCCAAATCCCTACCCTCTACCTAGCTCTATTTAAAATAACACTAGCTACCATTTGTTGACCATCTGCGTGGTTTTCTCATCTGATTATCATGTCAGCCCTGGCAGGTGAAAACATTCTCCAGATAAGGAAACTGAGCCTCACAAGAAAAGACTTGCCCATCACACAACTGGGATGTGGCAGATCCGGGCCTGGAACCTGGATCTCTGGGGGTTCTAGGTTGACTGCTGTGTTCACTCCCACACCACCCTGCTCATGGTTCAAAGAAGGAGTCTCTGACCCTCTGCTCCCAGTGCCAGGCCGGCCCTCTGTACCTGTGGTACAAGGCCGCCGATGTGAGAACCACGGAGAACTCGTTGGCCCTCTCGGCAGTGTAGCCCCAGCCACCCCGGGCCTCGTCCCAGAAGTGGCTCAATGTCAGGAAGCCCACCATCCGCTCAGGGAAGCTCTGCCACACCACAAAAGCAAAGTCCACCTGGGGAGATAGTTAAGTGAGGTATGAGGAGGGACGTCCCGAACAGCTGGGGACATCCAGAGATACGGAGGCAAGGCTAGCCTGGCCACGGGGACTCAGGGGAGAGGAGATGGGTGCGTGAAAGTTTCCAGGAGTGCTGGGGTGGGGGTAGGGTCCCATCTGGGAGCTAGAAACAATGCTTTTCAGCTGGGAGCTGAAAACTGTTTTCAAGAGTCTGCTGAAGGTTGGAAGGTTCTACTAGATTGCTAAAGAGGAGGCTGATTGGCTCGCAGGGGTGGTTTCAAAAGCAGGGGCTGCACCTCTGCGCTGGTCTTCTGCTCCTCTCTGCTTTGGGAATCCAAGCGGCTGCCCCCGGCCCCTCTGGCTCTGCCCACCCCCACCCTGGGCTCCTCTTGGGCCCCGTCCTCACCTCACTTGTGGTAAGACTGCTCTGGGCATCGAGGCTGAGGATGGCATCAGTGCTGATGGCTCTGTGCGGGAAGAAGCGGTCACTGACCTGTAGTGGGAGGGAGGTGAGGCCAACTCAGCCGTGGGAACCCTCCCCAGGCTCCCACAGTGACTAAGTAGCCTCGAAGCGGGAGCCCCTGCACACGGGTGTAGAAGACAGGCCAGTGACAACGGCCAGGCTGCCTGGAACTGGGACCCAGAGCTCACTGTAACTCTCCGCACTTCCATTTCCCTTTTGGTAAAACGGGCAGAGGGTATCTACGGGTCCTTCTAGTTTGGACGCCTCTGGATTCCTCTTGTCACATTACATGCTCACCTCAACCCTGGGAGGGGCTGTCAGACATCCTCCCTTTGAAAGAAACAGGTCCAGAGAGATGAAGGGACTTGCCCAGAGCCACACAGCACGCAGGTGGCTCCCACCATCCGAGGTTCTCAGAAGCCACCCTCCTCCAGCTCTGTGTGCTGCAATCTGTTCTCATTTCCTCAAGATCCCACGTTTCTCCTCGGGCTTATCCAAGGCAGCCCACATACGCCCTCTGCCTTCCCTCATCACACAAAACCCCAGGTCTCTGGAAGCACAATCCACAAGGGCCAGGGACGGAAGACGATCATCTCTATGGGGCCTGCAGCTGAGATCCACGTCAGATAGCCCACCATCCACTCCAGGAAGCTCTACCACACCCACACCGTGCAAGCAGTCCACCTGGGGAGATCCTTGAGTGAGGTGGGAGGAGGGACTTCCTGACCAGCTTCAGGCCTGACTGGAAGTCCAGATCTGGCTCAGGCTCAGGCAAAGCACCTGTGTGTGCCCTCCTGGGTTCCCTGCATGTGGGGGCTGGAGCCCTCCCTCCTGCCCCCCCCCCCACTCCTCACCTTCCTCTGCCCTTCCAGGACTGTCAAGGGCACTGCTGTCTTGGGCCACCTGGGTGGGGGTGGCTTCTCACTGCTCCAGAGAACCAAGATCTAGGAGGAAAAGGGGGTGTTCCTGAAGTCTGGGAGAGCAACTGTATTTGTGAGTTTGGGAGAGTTTAGTTGGAGCCAAGGTCCTTTTCTCGCTGCCCTGTTTTTGCCTCTGGGCTTCAGGAAGGCAGGAATTCCGGTGACACGAAGGAAGCTACCTATACCATTAGAACTGGAGGGAGTCGGTGGTGGTAACCCCTTGCCTGGGCCCTGGCCCCTCGCTCCATGCCCATCTTCTCTCAAAGGCTTTCATTCTCTTCTGCTCCTTCATCATTCGCTGCCCAGCTCAAATGTCCCATCTGTGGAACTGCTCTGTCTGTCCCCGGCTGAGCTTCCCTCCCCTGTGAGTTCTCTCAAGAGTCTATGTGGCTTCTCTGGAAGTGAGATTTGACAGCGTGTGCCAGGAAATGCTAACAACGGGAATCCGGGGCTGAATCCTTTCCTGCTTTTTCTCTGCATCCTCAGCATCAAGCCCACGGCCTGGCACTGAGAAAATGACTGATGGATGAGCACATGCGTGAACGCACGTCTGTTTACCTCTCCAGCCCCCCCAAGGGGTACCTGCTTTTTACATGATTTCATCAGTTTCCAAGGGGGGGGGGCAGGGAGGAAAGGAACAAGAACATTGGGACTTAAAGAGGGCACTGATGGCACTTGAAAACCCCTCCCATGCCTCCCCCCTGAATGTGTGGTTACGCTTGGGGTCTAGACATCTTCAAGGGCCCTGCCCTTTCCCTTGCCCCCACCCTGGATCCCAGGACCCCAGCTGGCAAGGGGAACAGACCTGGGCACAGTGCTGGGAGCCTGCCACCGCCTGGATGAGCTTCAGAGGGGGCTGGCCTGGGGCCCCCACCCAGATCAGGGCACTGAACCTGCCCACAGGCCGAGAGCCTGGGGGGAAGGAGACACAGGCTGTTAGGGTGGGAGGGGACAGAACCTCTTGAAGAGTGACCTGAGCCGGGGCCTCCAGGAGCCAGGAGAGATGTGGGAGAATCAGGGAAGGGCTTGGCAGGGCTTTATGGTTGAGGCTGGGATGGACTTGGGAAGAGCTGGTGAGGGGACTTCAAGTTGCCCCATCCCCAGGGCATACCCCGTTGTAGGTAGTAGAAGGGGAAGTCCGAGGGGCTTGTGGAAAAAGTGGGCAGGGCCAGGAGGGCCCCTGGGGGGCTGTTCCACAGTAGCGAGGGGTGAGCAGATGCTCCAAAGATCCGGTCCTGAATAATCTGTGAAATGAGAGAGGGCTGTGCTGAGGGAGTGGCCGGTGTGGTCGTGGGCAGGGTCCGGGGAAGTGCGGACCTGGCCTAGCACCCCCTCCCTGCAGCCCCCCTTCAGGCTCCTGGGAGGGCAGCAGCTGCATCACTGTCTGAAGGGTTCAGGTACAGAAGTCCAGAGTAGGGGGCACTCAGTGATGGTGTCCAGAGATGGCCGATGATGGTGAGTTTGCTGCCTCCCTTTCCTTCCTCACTCATGGCAGATGTTGCCAACAAGTCGCAACATTCTTTCCGGACCCAGAATCCTCTTTAACACAGCACCCGAGGCAGCCGCTGCCCATCACCTGGGCTGACATCTTGGCACATGCATTGAAATCTATTGGCCAGAGCTGTCCCTCTACAGATGGGGAAACTGAGGCCAAGACTGGAGAAGGAACTTGTCCAAGAGCTCAGAGCCAAGTCTCAGATTCATCCCAGAAGCCTCTTCAAGGGGGAAGTCCAAACAGTGGGGTGGAAGAGGTGTCCAGAGAGAGGGGTGTGGAGAGGGAACAGGGATGAGGCAGGAGCCAAGCCCCACAGCCCCCACCGTGGAAGTCCCCCTCACCTCCAGAGTGGTATGGATGACCTTCTCCACTGAGGAGAAGTAGGCATCCCATAGAAACTGGGTCTGCTGACGCAGGGCAAGGACCCGCGTGGGGGGCATCTCCTGGAGGGCAGCGACGACCTGAGGCACAGAGGGAGGAAAGGAGAAGGCATGGCGCCTTGTCGGGCTCTGACTGACTCTGAGGTGGGACCACCCAGGTTGGCAGTCTGGGAACCAGAAGCCTTCTCCACTCGGGTTTCCAAGTGGGTTAGAGCAGCCACCTTTGGCTAAGGCCCAGGTAACAATCAAGAGTTCAAGGATCACACAGAGTTGGGCCTAAATGCCACTTAGTAACTGTGTGACTATGGGCAAACTACTCAACCTCTCTGAGTCTGTGTCCTCATCTGTAAAATGGGGATAATAATAGTACCTGCCTTATAGGGTGGCTGTGGGGATGAAATTAGATAACACAGGGGCACCTGGGGGGCTCAGTTGGTTAAGTGGTTTGCCTTTGCCTCAAGGTCATGATCCTGAGGTCCTGGGATCGAGTCCTGCCTCGGGCTCCCTGCTCAGCGGGGAGTCTGCTTCTCCCTCTTCCCCTGCCCCTCCCCCCCCCGCTTGTGTGCGTGCGCGCGCACGCTCTCTCTCAAATAAATAAAAAGATCTTAAAAATAAATACATTAGATAATATACATTAAGTGCTTAGCATACGGTAGAGGTTCAGTGGCTGGTAGCTATTATTATTAACTACCATACCATTCTCACTTCTCAGGGGATTCAAGGCTTATGCAGGGTTTTCACAGTCAGGCAAAATTAGTTTCATCAGCTGGAAAAGTCACTGCATTTTGCTTGCCTGCCCCAGCCTCCATGGAGGCACTCAGATTTTGGATTTTTTGTGGCTTTCCCTTAAATTGGTCGAGTCACGGGCTGGGCCCATGGAGATCACCTGGTCTAACTTATCCCACTGTAGAGATGGGAAAACTGAGTCTGGAGAAGGCTCAGGACTTGCTCTCAGAACCCTCAGGAGTCCCTGCCTCTCTATGATCCTATGGGAGTCCCAGAGGCTTGGGGCTTGGAGCAAAATCATGAATATACACATATGGGGAATAGGAATGAGGACTGAGATCAGCCTGGGGGCTGAGATCCCGGGCTCCTCCCATGTCCTGGGTCCAGTCCCACGCTGTGGGCAGCACCCTGAGCTACCTGAAATGGGAGCCTCTCGTCAGCTACAATGGCCGCCTTGGTCCAATCGATGACCTCAGAGAAGGGCAGCTCCCACCGAGGGCTGAGAAGCACAGGGATGCAGCCAGCCTGGGGGGAAAGGGGAGGCACCGGGAAGCCCAGTCTTATCCTACACACACTTCCCCTCCCCCAGTTCCAAATTAGCAGCTGCTTCGGTTGTGGGCAAGGGGCAAAGAGGAGAGAAAGGTGGTTTTTTGGGCAGTGGGTTGTTCTACAGAGGGTGTGGTGAGCGTGGGTGCGGGCAGCTCACTGTCCCTTCCCATCGGCCTGGGCCCAGAGAGCCTGCCAGCTCAGGAGTGGGGGGGGGGGGCAAGGCCAGGGGATGCCTACGTTGGGGTTGTACCTGCAGGGCTTGGAGGAAGTGCAAGGCATCAGGACGGTGGCCAGGGATGAGGCAGAAGGTGGCATTGGGTAGCGTTGCCCCAGGGTGGGTCCTAAGGAGGTACAGGAGGGGTCCCACACACATGAGGCCTGAGATAGCGGCCCCTCGCCCCACCTGGCTCCCTTCACATCCCCCCAACTCCCCACACCAATACTCCCAAATTCACAATGTGTAAATCCATCATCTGTGCTTCATATGTTAATGACACTCAACGCACACGCACAAGCACACACGGAACACTGACACGAACACAAGCTTCACACCTGCCCTTCACCCATGGTGGGCTTAGTTCTGCCTCTGCCCTTGGTGGGCTCAGGCATCTCCCCCCTTCTCTTCTCTGGACCTCAGTTTCCTCATTTGCAAAATGGGAGGTGGCGGGACCAGCGGTTTCCAAGGCCTGGTCTGAAACCAAGGCACAGGCTCGCCCCCCCCCCACTGCTCTGCCACACGCAGATTCTTGGGCAACCCTCACCTGAGTGGCCTCCCTGCCCTGCCTTCCCCCCATCCCGAGAGCCCAGGCCCATGAAAGGCTCCTCTGTCAGGAGGTGGGCTGGGCCCCCAGCCCGGAACCGCACAGGAAGCTGCTGCCCAGAGGCCCCCTTGCCCAGAGGACAGGCCTCCTCTGTTCCTCCCAACCCCTGGGCCACACTCGGCTGTGTGTGTTTGTGGGGGGAGGGGCTTGAGTCACAGCCTCCTGGAGCCGCCTCCCTGGGACTGCCCACCCAGGGAAGCGGTGCCCATGACCTAGCTGCCGGGAGGTGTGGGGAGGGCATGGAGGGGGCAGGACTCCTGGCCTCACAGGCCTGCTCAGAGTGGGACTGATGAATAGAGCTCAGAGGTCCCAGGACCCTCCTCAGCTACAGCCTGTCTGGCCTGAGTCTGAACCATTGAACAGATGGGGAGACTGAGTCTCAGAGAGACCCAAGGACTAGCTTAGGGTCTCAGAAAGGGTTAAGGCAGGGCTGGAACTAGAACCAAATAGGCTAACTCCTGCCCCTGGGTTATTTGAACTACCCCGGAGCTGCGGCTTAGGGGTCTCCCAGGGGCTCTGCCTCCCGCCTTCTGTCTCTCCTCCTCAGGTGGCCACCAGGCTTCTCCTGGAAGAAGCCACGCGTTAAACAACAGAACATTCTCTAACTCATTGGTGCCACAGGACCAGCCAGCTACAGCCCTCCTCCCCTCCCCAACAAAGCCCTAAGGGACTGAGAAGCCCTAAGTTCCAGGCTTCCGAGAACCCAGAGACAAAGAGCTTTCTGAATAAACTGTACTCCTCAGTCCTCACTAACCTCCACCGTTCCCTCCTCTGCGTCTCTGTATATCCTCCCTCAGCCTGGAGCACCCCAGCTCTGCCTTATAGCCCAAGGAATTCCTCCTACTTGATCTTTTTTTTTTTTAATAAATTTTTTTGTTTTAAGATTTTCTTTTTTATCTGAGAGAGAGAGAGAGAGAGAGAGAGAGAGAGAGCGGGGGAGAGAACACAAGCAGGGGGAGCAGCAGAGGGAGAGGGAGAAGCAGGCTCCCTGCCCAATGTGGGGCTCGATCCTGGGACCCTGGGATCATGCCCCGGGCTGAAGGGAGACGCTTAACTGACTGAGCCACCCAGACGCCCCTCCTCCTACTCGAGCTTAAGGTCTAAGCTCAAACCTCGCCTTCTCTGGGAAGCCCTCCTTGATCTTTCCAGAGAAGGCTGGCTCCTCTCTGCTCCCACAGCCTGTGTGTGCACACAGTAGTAACGAGCCACGCCAAGCTTCCCAGAGCATTGCTCTAAGTGCTTTACCTGAGGTAACTCACCCCCCTGTCACAGCACTCCCTCAGAGACCGGAGGTCTGTGTTGCTCGTCCCCTGCTTTCCAGATGCGGGAACGGAGGCCTAGAGAGGCCCCACAGCTCTGAAGTGGAGGAGCCTGCAAGCAAGGCAGCTTGCACAGCATCTCTCTGCTTAACAGTGTGGGTCCTAACCAGGATCTGCCTGCCTCTCCCACAAGACCGAGCAACTTGAGGGCCGGGGCCCTGCCTTCCTCATCTTGGCATCCCCATGGCCTAGTGGAGCACCTGGCCGAGACTGGGCACGTAATAGCTGGTCAGTGAACGGATGCCCGGCGTGTGATAAAGGATGGACCCAGGACCAGGGGGCCAGATGTCTGCAAGGTCAGTTTCGGCACCAATTCTAGTAATGAATGTCTGGCTGACAGGAGCCAGGGGGTGGCCTTGGGAGATGGTGAGATCCCTATCAGTAGAGGTAAATAAGCAGAGCTGGATGTCTGTGTGTCTCTGTGCGTGCTGTGGAGGGGACATCATGGTAACTGCCAATGAAGTCTTAGGGTTCTGTGACCATAAAAGGTGTTTGCCACAGACTCAGGGCCTCAGTGCCCAAGGATGGAGTCAATGTGGCTCTGATGGGCTCTCTTGCAGCCTGGCTATTGGCGGGGCCACGTGTGACTTCCGTGTGCCCTAGGTACTTTGGCCTTTGGGGTCTCTCTGCCATAAATATTATATATATAAATTACATTTGATAATTGCATTTGGTATAAAAACAAAAACACTGGGGTGCCTGGCTGGCTCAGTTGGTGGAGCGTGCAACTCTTGATCACAGGGTTGTACATATTTTAAGATTACTTAAAAATAAATAAAAACAGTAATATATATTAGGGGCACCTGGGTGGCTCAGTCAGTTAAGCATCTGCCTTCGGCTCAGGTCATGATCTCAGGGTCCTGGGGTGTCAGGGTCCTGGGGTGTCGGGCTCCGTGTCAGGCTCCCTGCTCAGCGAGGAGCCTGCTTCTCCTTCTCCCTCACCCCACCCCACCCCCGGCTCATGCTCTCTCTCTCTCTCTCGCTCTCAAATAAAATCTTTAAAAACATATATATTAAAACATTTTCTTCTACTTAAAAGTATGGTTTTTCCTTCTGATTTTCAAAGAAATGAAAACGTTTTCCTGGGTCCCTGAAAGTACCATGGGTCCTAGGCACTGCGCCTCCTAGATGCAAAGGAGACTTTAAAACATGCACTGAATTTGTTAAAAAAAAAAAACAACACAAAAACCTAAGTGAGGGAGACCATACATACACGTTGTTTGTGCACACACAGAATACCTCCGAAAAGCCATGAGAGAAACTAGAAACGGTGTTTGGCTCCAGGAAGGAAAACCGGGTGGCCAGAGACACGGTGGGAGGGAGTTTTACTGTATACCCTTTTGTGCCTTTGGAATTTTGTACCCTGTGAATGAATTCCCTATTCATAAAAATAAATAAATAACAATTTAAATGGGTGGAGGCTTATTCCAAAGCAACAGGAGACTGTTCACCCAAGGTGGAAAAATGGCTCTGGAGCCAGAAGCGCCGGGTTTAAGCCCAGCTCCGCAGCCACCCCATCACAAACTCCAGGGAGGCCACGGTGAATCAAGGAGCTTGTCACCAAAGGGCCTTGGCTGGCTCCCTCCACCGCTTTGAGCCTCAGTTTCCTGTTCCCTGAAATGGGAATAACAATGCCTCCCTTGCAGGGTACTTGAGGGCGTGTGACTTGTGCAAAGTGGCTGGCGCAGCACCTGGCCTGGGGCGTGTTCGCTTCCTCCCCTCCCCCTCTCGCCCCCCCCCCCCCGTCGCCAGCCCAGGCAATGTGGGACAGTGGCTGTGGGATGGTGGCAGGGACGATGAATTGCCTCTTTCTCTGACCAATACTTGTTTATTCAGGCCACCTTCTGGGGGCTGCCCTGTGGCTGGTGGCCTCCCTCTCTCCCTCTGTCCCTATACTGTTTGGCTGCTTCAGGCAGCTGCCTGACACCTCGGGGAAACTGAGGCTTACGCTACTCCAGAGATTACAAGACCTGTCCCCTGCAGGGGGGCTGAGGCCAAAGACAGACCTTGTGAAACTGCAGAGGATAGTCAGAGGCTGCCAGGCATCACACCTTGGAAATAAACTCATCCAGAGGGTGGCCCACGCAGATAAGAAAGCCTTGACAAGTTCTGGCCGATTTGGGATCAATCGGTAAACATTTAGTACGTCAGCAGTTCACCTATGGTATGCAGCTCCCTAATTTCCAGTCTCTCAAAGAAGTTCAGACTGAAATTCACCAGCGCAGTAACTAAAGTCAGCGGAAAGAAGAACTTCCTATAAGCAGGAATGGCTAAGAGCCTAATCAGAGAGGTCAGGTGGGGCCATGGTGAACAAGAGAAACTAGTTCACTGAAGGTAAGCTCTGTCTGAGCTCTGACCTTCAGGGGCCTGGGGTGGGGGGATCCCCGACCTTTCCGATCACTGCTGAGGACGCCCGCTAGGGATGGGTCCGGGCAGAAGGGCCTGGGGGCTGATGAGGCAATTGCATTCCTACCTCTGGCTGTGGGGCTCCCTGGAGGCCCTGTGCCTTGAGGAAGTAGAGGGAGTGCATTCCCAGGAGAGCCGTCTGCCTGAGAGAAGCCCCTGAGAAGCAGAGGCAAAAAGGGAGCTTGGCCACGTGAAGCCTTCCTAGGGGGGAGGTGTTGCTGAGAATAGCCCATGTTGTTCTAGCAGCGAACGGAGATACCTGAGGGAGGGAGCAAGGGGAGGACAGTTTCCAACTCAGGTTTGCCCCAGAGATGGAGAAGGAACCCTCTGCTGCCTGGACAACCTTCAAAAGGATTTGAGTTCCTGCCTGCCCAACCAGCCTTCGGACACACGGACACACCGGCCTCCTGGGGGTCCAGAGGGGTTAGGGTACTTCAGGGTTAACTGCTTTATCACCTGAGGCCTGTCACTCCAGCTAGCCCACGGAGAGGGGTTTCTGAACAACTCTCCATGTCCCATAGGCACCACACCCCCCCATATGTCTCCAGGCGGTTGTGGGGGCGGGAAGTTCTTCTGTAGGTCTGACATTCATATTTGCTGTTTCCTTAAGAGATTAATCCCTCAAATTAGACACCAGAGCATCTTCCATCTGTGACCAGTTCTTAGTCTCCATGGCTCTGAGGCATTTGATGGGTTGATCATACACTCTTGGTTAAAACTCAGAATTCTAATGCTGAAGGCTTTGGAAACAGGCAGCTCTGGATTTCAACACTGGCTGTGCCCTTTCTGTCTGGATGGCCTCAGACCAGTTACTTAACCTCTCTGAGCTTAGTGTCTGGTACACAAACAAATGATAGCAATTAGTAGTATTTTATTATAACCATTATTTATAATTTAGCACAGTGAGCACAATAGACGTGTACGTTAAAATATTAGGAAAGGAGGAATTGGAATAAGAGAAAGAGAGTAAGCAGGAGTGAGTCATATTTTTGTTTTTACAGATCCCCGAGGGAGAACTCCAAAACCTACTTTGGACACCCTGTGTGACAAAGAACCATCTTGGTGGGGTCTCTCTCTGTCTAACCTGATTCCCTCTTGCTGCAGCTGAGGCCAGAGTTTGCCAGGCCTAGCCGGTTCTCCTGTCCCATCTCAATCCTGCCCTCCCCCCTGGCCTCTGGGCTTAGTCCCCTTGCAGATCCCTCCCACTCAGCACCCCCCCCCCGCCCCCGGGGTAAAAGTCCACTTACTGCTCGGGTCCACGGTCCTGCTCACAGCGCCCATCCCAGGGGCAGGCAGAGGAGTCCGGGACTGCTGTGCGCCACCCGCCCCTCTCCTCCGCCAGGGCTAGCAGGGGCACCCCAGGGTGGGGGCTGTGCTGTCCCAGCCGGCCAGGGGCCCCACCTCGCAATGGGTGGGCTTCAGGGAGAAGCGGCAGGGCCACGTCAAAGCCAGGCCGGAAGGTGTCCACCATGGGGCTGGCCTTGGCCACCATTGCCTGTCCCAGTTGAAAGGTCTGGGTGCAGAAGGCTGGGTGCAGACTGAGGACCAGATGGTTCCTTCCCCCATTCCATTGCTGGGGCACTGGGATGCACTCTCCGGCTGGGGCTTCCAGGCTGAGGAGGAGGAGGATGCAGGCCTCATCAGGGCTGACGGAGCGGGATCGAGAGCTCTCAATGGAAGCCAGGATCCTGCGGTGAGTGTCAGAGATCGGGCCAGCCACCGGGTACACGAACACCTTGAGACCACCACCCCTGCACTTGGAGACATCAAAGCAAGCTCCCCAGTCGCAGCTGCCACCACGGGGGGCTTGAGGAAGTTGAGGGTCATCTTCTGGGAGCTCCCCAGGCTGGGAGAAACTCTGCAGGAGCTCTGCATCCAGCCAGCGGGGCCAGCCTTGGGGGGCCCCTGCCCAAGGTCTAGCAGGCACTGCCAGGCGGAGAAGGGGGAAGACTCTCAGAAGGACGAGGAGCCAAGAGGCCGACAGTGCCAGCCAGAGGGACTTTCTTCTCCACGACTGCATGTGGCCACCCGCAGCCAGGGCTGGGGGAAGCAGGAGGAGCAGGGGCTTGGAGCAGGGGCTTGAGGGCGAGTCGCTGGAGCTGGGATCTGCCTTCTAGTTCAGCGCCTTCATTGTACAGATGGGAAGACCGAGGCCCATGGAGAACAGGCTGCCTGTGTAAGGTCAAACCGCAAGTCACCAGCCAGGCACCAGGAGGCCAGGTAGGACCCGGCTTTGTGGCCTTGCCTTCTTGCAGTCAGGAATCTGCTTCCTTGGCCTTTGGGCAACCAAGCCAGGCTTTGACAACCCCCCACCCCCGCAACCGCCAGCAGGGCCCCTGCCCCTGGGCACTGCTCAGGCTGATGCAATCCCCTGACCACACTGCCAGGCGACGTCCTTCTGCCCTCCTGGCTGCACCCCCTGACCTTGGCCTCAGCAGGGAGGCAGGCAGTCTGCCAGGCCATGGGGACCTGTCAGGGCTCTCACAGGAGGTGGCTTGGCCAGGGTGTGGGGCTGGACAGAAGGGTGGCTGGCCTCCCCAATCCTCCCCTTTGCCTGAGCAGCCTCTGAGTAGTCCTGGCTGCCCCTGTGCCCACGGGCAGGCACTCCCGGGCTGTGGGCCCTGCGGCAGGAGCTTAAATTAGACTCGGCGGCCCATGGGGGCTCTCAGGGTCGGCTGAGGTCAAGGCCTGGGTGCAGCCAGTACCCCCTGCCCCGGGGGCTGGGAGTGCTCTGGGTCCTAAGTCCTCTCCCACCCCCCGCGCTGTCCCCCTCTCAGGCAGCTCGGCCCCTCCCCCCCTCAGCTGGCCCTGCACCCTCTGACTGGCAGCTGTCCCGGTGCAGACACCGGGGACCCTGCCCCACGCTCCCGTCCTACGGCCCCCCCCAGCCCCGCCAGCGTCTCGGTCTTCTCCCCGGCTCCCTCTCAGGCAGGGCAGCATCTGGCCCGACGGGCCCTCCTTCCCGGCCCGGCTCCTCCCCTGCCAGCCCTGATTCGTTGCTGCCTGGGAGGCAGGGTCTCCACTTAACCCGTTCCAAACCAGTTTCCTTGAGGGTCGATCATCCTCACCAGCAGGACCCACACCTCACAGACGCCTCGTGCTGTCACAGCCTCTGAATCCACACAGCAGCGCTCCAAGGCAGAGGTTTAGCACTCAGTTTTCACAGGTGAGGGGGTGGGTGGTACTGGGTAAGATGCTCTCGACTATTCCCAGGAGTAGCCCCACCTCATCCAGCTGCAGCCTTTTCAGGCCCACTTCCGGCACCTCTCACTCAGGTGTCCAGGTAGGTCTGCCGTTGCCTGGGGCTCTGGAGAGAAGGTCTTGATGCTCATCCTCCAGTCCATATGGTAAGTTCTGCCTGACGTTGAACTTGGCTATCCATTAGTCCACGGCCACTGAGGGGTTCCCCTGCTCAGTTCCTTAGTCTGTGCTCTGAGAGGGGGGTCAGGAATGGGTGATGTCACCCACTAAAGAATTGCTGAGGTGAAGGGGGAAACACAGCCCCTGGCTGCCAGGAGCCCCAGTCTGATGTGGGAGGCCATGTGGAATGGGCCGACCTAGAGCGAACTCTGCCTCCACCTCTGAACAGCTGGATGATGTGGGGCCTCTGTCCCCTCATCTCAAGATGGAGGTAAAGATCTTTACCGTGAGGTGGTTGTCAGATTAAATCTAGGCCTATCCCATGGGGTCCCTCAACAGGTGGCCACCTCCTTTCCTTTCTTGCCTTCCCCTGATCTCAGAGGGCCACTGATCTGAGCAGGGAGAATGTTTTGCCCTCCATGGGAATGTTTTGCTGTCCGTGGGCAGCACGTCCTAGGGAAGAGTACAGTTCATTCACCCAATGTCCTCAAAATGGCCAGCACAGGGGAAACCTGGCCTTTTTGCCTACAGCGTCCATCACTAAGTGATGGACTGACTTTCCCTGCACACATCAGGCTTTCCCAAGGGGAGAGAGACCTTTGCACTTGCTGTTTCCTGCTCCTGCCATTCACCCTGCTCAGCTAACTCCACCTCATCCGACAGGAATCAGCTCCCCTCCTACAGGAAGCCTCCCTGACTCTCCTCGTGCTGGGTTGGGGCCCTCCTCTAGGTTCTTATGCCACTTCTTCATCCTTCTATCCCTGTGCTCATTCATTCATTCATTCATTCATCCAACAACTACTTATTAAGTACTAAATGTGGGCCAGGTTTTGTGCCAGGCCCTGGAGATAGACACTGAAGAACAGTAACAGCTAACGTTCCTATTACACTTACTATGTTCCACATGCAACTCCAAGTGCAAGTGTATTAGCTCATTGAATCCTCTCCTAGGGGGCTCTGAGGAAGGTACTGTTATTATCCCCATCTGATAGATGGGAAAAGAGAGGCCCAGGCAGCTTAAGTAAGTTGCCTGAATTCCTGCAGGATTAGCCAGGATTTGGACCTAGGCAGTCCATTCCTTCAGTCATCACACCATCCTGTCTCCTGAGTGAGACAGGTATACCCCCATTCTTGCAGAAGGCACCGTCCCTGAGGAACACCAGGATCCAGGCAATCACAGGACGAGGGGGGCAGGGAGCATGGGAGTGCACCGAGGGACACCTGCCCTAATGCTTGAAGGACACAGTATGTTTTTTAGAAGAACCAGTGTGGCTGCCTAGGTGGGAGCAGACAGGAAATGGCAGGAGTAGAGGCAGGGACTGCTTTTTTTTATGACGGTCACCCCCACAAGTCATTCATTCCCTCATTCCACAACTCTCCTTCATGAGCCCTGTACTGTGTGGGCCAGGCGGGCTCTCAGGGTGGGTAACAAAGCAGACAAAACCTTGCCCTTATGGAGTTCACGTTCCAGGGAGGAGAGATCAGCAATGAACAAAACATAAATAAAAAATCTCGTGTTATTTGGCAAGAAAGGCTGTGGAGAAGGGTAGGGGGAGCTGCAGTGTTAGACGGGACAAGTGGGGAGGGGCGCCCTGAGAAGCTGACGTTGGAGGTGAGGGAGTGGGGGGGGGGGCGGTGCAAGGTCAGGTCACTCCAGCAGGGCGGGGAGAAGCACAGGTTCTGGGGGTGGGGGGCATGGACGTGCAACATGAGAGACATGATCTCACTTGTTTTTGAGGCACCACTCGGACTCCAAGGAAGAAGTTGCCACGGGGCAGAGACAGGCGGGGAGCCATGTGGGCCCAGGGGAAACCACAAGACTGAGTGGGGAGTCGAGGTGGGGGAGAAGGTCAGGGGTCCACCTCTGAGGCTAGGAATTTTGTCTCATTCACCCTTCTCATCCCAGCACTAGGGTAATAAATGGCCAACAAATACTTGTTGAATGAGTGAATGAATGGACCGGTGGACAAAGCTGGGAGGGCGAGGAGGCCAAGGCCAGCGGGCCAGGGGCTTGGTAGGGGACTCCTGCTCCCCCAGCTCTAGGTACCCTGGCTGGCTCCTGCCCGTGTCCACACTTGCATACACGCACAAGCCAACTCCTACCTTCGCCCCTGCAGGGGAGGCCCTCAGACTGGCTGCGCCCTGGGCTTGTCTGGCCTGTGATTCACGTGGTTGCCCTGCGGCTTGGATGGAGGAAGAGAAGTCAGGGCATCCTGGCAGGCGGGACTGAGCTGGGCTCGTTCTAAAAATACATCGCCAGTTTCTGCCAAAAGCTCTGAGGGCCTCTGTTGAGCTCTTAGGGCTCATCAAAGCCACCTGGAGTTCCTGTCCTATGCCTGGGCTCTGATCAATGGCCCAGTAGCCCACACTTTGGGGAGAGGGGGGTGAGACAGGGCAGGAAGGAAAGGACAGCAGGGGGGAGGAGGGGGGAGGAGAAGGCCCAGGCTCTGGTTCAGTGAGGGGAAGCTTCTGGAGAAGGCAGCACTCTTGTTTCCCGCAGGGCAGGGTCGAAGCAGAGCTTGAGTGGATTGGAGACCAGGGAGTGCTCTGGATGGCATCCCGGAGCTGGAGCACTGCAGCGTTTGCTTCGGGGCTACGGTGTGTCACACTGCGGGGGGGCTGCCGGAGCAAGGGGGTGCTCCCTGCCTGAGGTGCCAGGTATCGTATTGGCCAAGTGCCCAGGCAGGAAATGGGGGTTTGATCTGGACTATTCCCTCTTTGCACCCTGGTTCTGCCTCCCCCCTGTCTTTCCTTCTCTGGAATGGGCCTGAAATTTCCAGAAAGAATGCATCTAGTCTTCCAAGAGAAAGGAGCCTGGAGCGTTAGCTCAGGTGCTCTTACCAAGCTGTGTGTGTTCCTGTGCAAGTTACTTCACCTCTCTGTGCTGCTGTTTCCCTTTCTATAAAATGCCGAGAATAGCACATTTCCTCTAAGGCTTTCTGGGAAGAGGGTTCAATGAGATCATGAATGGACAACCTTCAACACACCATGCCTGGCACAAAGCCGGCACCTAACAAATGCATCCTCTGTCCTCCTCAGACCCCAGGAGAGGTGAGCCGGCCTGCACCAAGCTGTCCAGATGGGGTAGATCAGGGCTAGGACTTGGACTTTCTCCCCTGTGCCCATGTTCTTCCTGCTGTATCTCCATCTCTGTTCAGAAAGAAAGATACTTGGAGCTCCAGGAGACGATCACCATGGCAACCCATCTGCTGCTTCTCACCCGCCACTGTTGTTTCCTCCAGCTCTGAGCTTTCTGGGTGTCTCGCTGCGGAATTCACACGTGTGGGGGGCCGGAGGCCATGGGAGGCTCTGGGGTCTCAGCTCTCACTTGCCTGAGCACTGATAACCCCAAAGCATGGCGAATCCCCACAGGACTCTATGATAGCAATCCAGCTCCAGCTAAAGTGAGTCTCCCCCTGAGGCCCCACCAGGATGCAGAGCGATTCCTCCCTATAGCAGAGAACTCACATCTGGAACCCAGAGCTAGGGAGGCCCAGGGAAGCAGCCCAGGGGCCCAGGGGATGAGAGTCAGGGAACGTAGGTCTGGCCTCTGCCACTCCCCCAGGTATAGCTGGGTGACCTTGGACCGGTCACACCCTCTTCCTGGACCTTCACTTTCTCTCCATCATCCTAACGTAGTAGCAAGACTAGCTTTTTAGAGGAAAAAGATCTGGAATTCTTACTGAGAAGTGATTCTGACAGTTTGGAAGCCCAATCCTTCCCTTTCCCATCCTATGAACACTTGACTTTGTCAGGAAAAATGTGCAAAACTTGGAAGTGAAGCAATGAGGAGACTGTGTATACTTTCATCATTCTCCTGGGGCA